TTATATGATCAATCACATATGATATCCAAATCGACATAAATATAATTTTTATAATTTAATGAAAATTCAATGTTAAAACATTATGTTATATAACGTTTAAATATTAAAATATTATATTTCATCGAAAGTATCATCCACAACACTTGCGGATTCTAATGGAATGAGAAGGGGAAGACGATTCAATGTCGTGGAAGTGTGTTTTTGGAATGAACCATGGTGAAAGCGAAAGAATTTGAGAAAGGTCATACATAGTGAAATATGAAAAAAATCAAAAATTGATTTTTGATTGGTTAATGTTACGATTTGGGATTCAATTGTAACGATCGGTATGCAAAGAGATAGTGGCACAAGAAGAAGACGATGATGAGTCATCCAAACTGTTGAATATGAAATTTACGGCTGAAACTGGGTTTATAAGAAAGATGAAAAAAATGGTAAGAGCAAAAAAAAATGTTTCGATGGCAGATGAAGATGACAAAAACTGGAGGAATGTCGTATCTTTTATCCATAAAAGTCAAAAGCTTTTAATTCTTAGTTTAGTCTTTTTAAGGATCAAAGTCTGTGACTTTTGTAATTTGTGTTTAATTATGATTTGTGGTCATGGTATTAATAAAGTAATACAAAGTTAAGATTTAGTTTGTAACATTCCGTTTTGAGTTGAAAGTAGTGGATCTACGGACTTTGATAATAGGATCTATGAAATCAAAGCAATGGTTAAGCACGAGAGATAGATGCTTGCACATAACTTCTTGAGAACAAGAATCGTGATGTGAGCAGAAAAACATGCACCAAAATAAACTGAACACCCTACAATTAACCAATAATTTTCATTTAAAACCGAAACGGATTAAAATTTTAGTTCTTTCTGAAACGTTACATAGGAATCAAAATCATCTATTCAGTGTGTGAGGGTTAAAGTTCTTCGAGGGTTAAGGCTCCACGAGAGGTAAGGCACCCAGAGGGTTAAAGCTCCCCTCTTAGGGTTTAGCTCCTCTCTCAGTTTGCTAAAAAGTTTAAACCTGTCATTTTGATTAAAGAAAAATATAAATGATATATCTATAAATTAAGAAAAAATCATTAGTATAAAACGAGTATTCGATCATAATATTTTTCTTATATTTTTGTAGTAACCATATCATGATAGTTGTAGTAATTTTCACTAAAACTAAAATTAAATTAAAACTTTATTTCTTTTTGCAAAGTTACATACGAACTAAATTTTTCTATAGCTGACCTAAACTGAACCGTAGTTTTATTCAGTATGTGAGGGTTAAGACTTCCCTAAGGTTAAAGCTCATTTCATAGGGTTAAAGCACAAGTTATCCAACCATCGTTTCAGCTGATCAATGAGCATTATGACTTGGGAAAATATTTGAACGGTTTACAGTTTGATAATCCGCCGACGATGAAGACGAAAGCCAGATAAGAGTCACATGGGAGTTACGTGGAAGTCACACATATGGACAAACATTACTTGAGACACAAACTAGCTCAGCGATAGTTCAACTTCAACACGTGAACGAGCTCTCGGTAGACTTTAATATTGGCCTGTTCTTTTGAAAAATGCATTGACAAGAGTGTGCCACTCAAAAATTCAAAAAGGAAGAAAAAATAAGATAGGAATGGAGTCGCTGCTTTTTTTAACATCACCGACGTCGCCAGATTCCTTTCATTTTTTTTGGTCTATGCGTTTTTAACCTTTCATCCAGCGACGATGGAGAAGAAAATTGAAAGGATATTCAGTCGCTGGCCTCAATCGCGGCGACACTTAGTTTCTAAACGTTGCATGTTTAGGTTAACTAGATAGTTGTTTAACAAATGCAAATCTATAGAATATGAGGTGAACATGTTAGAGACATGTGAACAACTTAGTTTTTCCTTTCTTTTTGTTGGCATTTTAGTGATCAAAGTCGAGCTTTTCGAAAATTCATTTTACGTATGTTTGAGAAGAGGAAGAACAAAAAGAAACTGGAGACGAAACAAATAAAATAATTCATAAACTTAATGTGTACAATCGAAGTGAACAAATTATTTTGCGGATTGTATATTTGTGCGTGGCGAGACAAAAAAAACTAATATATACACATACTAACACATTCCGTGTAAATTTAAAGAACCATATAGTAAATTTGTTCACTTAGTTTTTTGTTTAACTTAGTCGTTCATTTAATTCATAAGAGGACTAAACTTCTATTCGGATACTCTAAGACTATTTTTATATGATGCTCCAAAATTGTATGCTAGACATATATGATCCTGTACAAATGATACGAAATCCGATCGAAACAATTAGCTGTAAGATAAGACAAAGCGATGTTCCATCCAAAGAAAAGACAAA